CAACAACAACAACAACAACAACAACAGCCGGCAGCCGCTTATCAGTCGATTGACGAATCCGCTCAATATCAAGCCGCAGCTCAGCCCGCCAAAGCTTACAATTCGCCGCCACAATATGATTACATTGAAGATGAGACGTATCGAAAAGCTCTTGAACAGGTCCAAGCTCAAGCTCAAGCTCAAGCGGAAGCAGAAGCGTTAGCCTTTCATAAACTTGCGCAGGCTGCGTACAAAAATCATCAGCAAGATGCATTAGAGCACATGAGGCTGACAAATGAACGTTACAGGCAACAGTCTGCACTGGAACAGATTCAACAAGGTTCTCAAGTGAGCGACGCTGGACGCGTTCACTTGCAAGAACAATTGCGGCCGAAAGGCGCGGATGCTGCTTACAGAGCGAAGTTGAAAGCTCAGATAGCGGCAGAAGCAGCCGAGGCAAGGAAGCTGCAACATGCGCAAGAATTTAAGGCACACGCCGATGCTATTCGCAAACACGAAGCTCAACAACAGGCTCACCTGAGGATACAGGAGGAAGTGCATAACTATGCTCTGAATTTCGAGAAAAATCAAGCGCGCGCTCAAGCCCTGGCACAAGCTCAGGCGGAGGCTCTTTACAAGTCTCAACTGCAAGCTCGCAATCAGGTTAAGAACGAAGTGCTGGCGATTTCCAAGGGCCAGGTACAAGCAAAGAAAGTCGATCCAGACTTATCTGTGTATCATTATACACTCTCAACTACAACTGCCCTCCCTCTGCTTCCTAACAGCTACTTCACCAACGATCAGTTGCAGAAATATCAAACGTCCGGCTCTTCCTATGTTCCTAGATCAGTTCCAAAACCGGACGACGTAAGCCCCGTTGTTGAAACGGCCTCAGCTCAGGTGCAACCTGTTATCACGCAGCCACGGCAAGCTCATAAGTTGAAGGTTCCTTCGTCTTCTCAATCGGTTTATGTGTCCGAATCCGGTTTGCTGAAAAAATCGCCGATCAAGTCGATAACTATCGAAGAAGTAACCGTCCAGCCGGATCAGATTGGTAATCCTTCACCTACACCTAAGATACGTACATTGACAGAGGAAGATTTATCGGCATTGATTAATGCAGGATACACGGTCACTCCTGTATCGCAACCTGCGAAATCCATTCAACAAATATATGCAACCGACAACGCATCTGTCGGTTACTATAACAAGAAGCAAAAAGCTCCTGTTACAAGACCTGAATATGTTACCTACGAGGAAGTAATTCAACGTCCACGAAAACTCGTTAGAAAAAATAGGCCGATACTGAAACACAGTGAGAAGGAAGATAATCTGAGTGAAAAGATTACGTATTTGGTACCACTGGAGCCAGTTTTCGGCACAAGACAACCTCCGCTCAAACATGAAGAGTAATTTCGGCATTTTTTTTTTTTATCGTCGTTGCGTTGTAAGTCCAGGATAATGCAGCATGCAGTTTAAATACTGTTCTTATTGTCTATCTTCTCGTCTTTGATTCCACACTGCAGTGAAAGCTACAAATTCGATATTATAATTGCGTTGAATTTATTTTTACTGAGATACGATTTCACATTGATTTCAAGAATTATAAGATTAACTTCATAATACATTGCGGTGATTTGGCTTTTAGATGCAATGTGAACAGTTCTTCGTATTCCTCGATCTACATTTTCCTGTTAATGTTTCTTCCAGTTTTTTACGTATATAATATTTTATATTACTTTGAGCGTGATTAAGACGAATGATTGAAACATTAAATTTCCCTCGATATATCATTTACTGTCTAAAATTCAAAACATTCGAAATCATGGAATAGAGAATCTTCTTACGTAGTATTAATAAACGTCGTGTCAAAGAAAAATAAATACGTATATAGATTGTTATAGGTAAATTTTATGCTGTAAATGAGTAGAACACTCTTGTACGCAAAATCATTTGCAGGCGGTATGTGCGACGGTGCTGAGTCCAACCTTTTTAATTTATACTTATTATACTTGTATATATTAGATTTTTACCGAATAAAACAATTCAAAAATTTTGCTCTGTCATGTATGACATATCTACTCTATCCTTCAATCATTCTATTATTCCTATATCAAAATGTACCTATTTTTCTTACAATAATAATTTTTAATCATTGAATTGGTAAGTTTTAAAATTAATTATTCATTTAAAATAATACTTTTCTATAGTAAAATCATTGTAGAATTTTTTCAAATTGTAGATATATATAAAAAGTGGAACTTTGATCATCTTTGATATTTTTATCATTTTTTGAAATATAGAAAAATTTTGACAATTACATAATTTTCGTTACAATACAAAAATAATAAATTAAAATAAATTTCCCTTTATTAATCTCTCTATAATATTATAATACAAAATATTACAAATAATACAAAAATAATAAATTAATAATAAAATTAAACAAAATTATAATATAAAAAATATAATAAATATAATAATATTATAATACAAATAATAACTTAAATAATAATATAATAAATATAATAATATTATAATACAAATATAATAAATTAAATAATAATATAATAAATATAATAATATTATAAAATCAATTTTTATTACTTATAAATAGTCTACATGTCACGAATTTCTTCGCAATACATTGAATTGAAGGACTATCAATCTGTCAGGTAGGAAGAAACTTGAGACTATGTTAAATTTACGATATAAAAAAAAACAAATCTGTTAATTTGAAATTGCAAAAACAAGATTATCAATAATATTAGCAAAGATAGATTTATAGATGTAAATGTAAAACAAATCTTCGGTATTCATCCAATTTCATATTAATAAATAAATATATATATATATATATAGCAATATATAATAATCTTTACTATAAATAATATTAAAAATATTATTATAATAATATAATGTATGTATATATGATATCGTATATTAATATAAATAAACCTTAGTTTCATAAATTATTTTCATATTATTTGTTCTTTTAATGTGAGAATGACGAATGCTCATTTTAAGATACTCTTACATTAATTGAATTCGTAATAATTGAATGATATTATGATGAAACTAAGTTATATTGAGCTAAATAAACTGATTTTATATGAAAATTGATTTTAGCATCTATATCGATTAAACATTTTTCATTTTTCTCGATGACTATATAAATAAGACTAAATCTTTATATGTAGTTTTATTTAAAAGAATATTAACGAAGTTTCGAAAATTATATTATAAGAAAATACTTTTTTATAATAATATCTATCCCTTGAAGTAATTTTTTTCTCAAACAAAATGTATGATAATTAAGATGAAAAAAAATCTATACAGAAAAAAATACAAGTTTTTTTCTTTGATTATCATCCCGTACAATAACCTTTTTATTATTTGTTAATTTATTTATTTTCATTTGTTGCTTTCATTATTTTCTAAGATAAAAGAAAATCTATTAGAAAATTCTAATAATAATGTGATTTTCTTTGATAATTTAACTTTGAAGGTAAGTTATTTAATAAATCAAATATTCTTGTTATTCACTTTGCACATATTATTGT